GTTTTCTTGTTTTTTTTTGGATTATATTTAATTTCTCATTCACTACTTTAGGTCTTTATGCTTCAGTGCTTTAAATTTTAATGTGGTAATGATTCTTTTGAAAGTCCACACATGTTCCTTTTGCATCTTAACTTTCTTCTTCATTAAAGAATTATCTCTTCGTCTTTTTTTTTAAAGCCGATATTATATATTTTCTTCTATTGTACTGCATAGGGTAATTATAATCTTCTACTGTTATTCCTGGGGAAGCAAGAACTCCAGGTGATAAAGGACTACCTCTGATAGTTTCGAAAAATTATTCTGTTTTTTTCTTCTTTTATCTTTTTCTTCTGTTTCCCTTTTTTCAGGTACATTTTTCTTTTTCAATACAAAAAATCTTAAAACAGAACAAAAAGGAGAAAATTTTTTTTTTTTTCATTTAAAATCTTCATGAGTGGCTCTCTTTCATAATCCAGGTATCACTAGCTTGTTCTACGTTGATCATTTTAGCTTACATTCTGATTTTGGATTATCAGTTTTTGGATGTTCTTGTTTGTTTTCGTATTTCGATTATAATTTTTTTAATAGCCAAAAAAGTTAAAATCCATAATCCACCTAAGAGTAGTTTTTACTAATTCTAATTATTCTCTACAATCACTTTCCATAATCGAATTTTGCAAAATCTAGAGCAACTGAAAACAAGGCTATAGATTTCACTTATAGTTATTTTATATCCTTTTTTGTACTTGTAAAATTCCTTGCCGGGTCTCTTTTATTTAATTTTTGTTTGAAGGCAAGAAGGGAAAACTTGTAAACTTCCAGGATCTCTTTTATTGTTTACCACATAACATGGAATTTATTGCAGATCTATTCAATATATAAATGTGAGTCCGCCTGGAAGTACTAGCTTTTGGGTGCAATTCGTTCAATAAACAATCGAAGATGAGAAAAACAAAAAATACAATCATTGTAATAGGGCTCGCCACTACTAAGTACTAAAACACAAATTAAACAGAAGTATTATTGTTTCTTTACCATTTCTCCTAATAACAAGTACACTAATTGAGATGACAAATTTTGAGCTCACTAATTACTTCATTCTTACTGCTTAGGGCTATATTTACTCCTCAGGAGTCTGGCAATTCGAAGGATATGGATTTGTTCCAAATGGAACTTCTGGTGTGTGCATTATGCAAGTCTTTGGAGCAAGCCTACCTCATAACACAACTTTAATGCTTAGGGTTTACAATGGATCCCTTGCATACTTTGAACAAGCAAACGTACTTGTACACAACATATATGATAGGTGGTTCAGAGTTAATGTAATCCATGAGGTGGCTGCTAGCAAATTGAAGGTTTACATTGATGGGGTTTTCATATTTGAAGCAGCTGGTAGAGGTGGAAACTCACATTATTTCAAGTGTGGAGTGTATTCACAGGTTGGTGACTCTTACTATATGGAGTCACGTTGGATTGGAATCAAAGTTCTTAAACAAATGTGATTGATTTTCCTTGTAATATTTGCCTTGGATTTAGTTCACCTTTGCCAAACTACTTCACTTGTCTTTACTTCTTTTGTATTGAAGTAATGGAAAAGGCATTAGTTAGTGCTGGTGAAGTTTGATTAGTGAAAAATACATGAATAATTCAGTCATGTCTTTTTTTTTTTTGAAGCAAACTCCAAGACTATATATATGACACAATCCGAAGGAAACAAAACCCCACAAAAACAAGAAACCGTTGGCTATAACAGTTTCATCAAAAGCTCCATTTTCTATATATTGGAAAACACAAGAGAATTAGCCAGAAACAAAAACAAAATGGGATCAGCTACCATGAAAGCTGCTAGTAGTAGCATTTTTTGCACTTGTCTCTTTACCATGGAATCTTTCGTTAACTTACAATATGAAGGAACAGATGGGACGCACAATAGAGCCATTCTCTGTTGTATTACAAGTCCTTGTACTTACCAATGCACAACTCAGAGCTCCATCTCCCCCTCTTTCTGAAAACACCTTGAAAGTGACAATTGTCAGATCTTCGGCCTGTCCCTCTGTTTCGTATTCAAAAAGTATTACAGCAAAGTAATCATTTCCTAAATCAACAAGATCAACTGGAACTCCATCTGGTATGCCATCCAATAAAAGTGGTATTTTTACCGCTTTCTCATCACAAATTTGATAGGCACAGACAGGAGGATGGAAGGTAGACATAATCAGTGACGGAGCCAGGATTTTTTTTTTTTGGGGGCCAAAATTGAAATTCCATTCAAAGATGACTAATTCATATATATATATATATATATATATATATATATATATATATCAACTCTCATAATATAAACTAAAATTGAAAAAATTTAGGGGGGGCCAATTTTATTTTACACACATATTTACATATTATGAATTAAAATTCTCAAAACTTAGGGGGGGCCATGGCCCCCCCTCTGCCCCCCTTGGCTCCGTCATTGGACATAATGCACAACAAGATATTGTCTTTATATAGGATGGCTTTTTTCTCAAAAAGAAATGGAGGACCACAACCATCTAGGTGTCGCACATAACGTTCGGGAGGTTGAATCGGGAAATCAGAAAATAACTCACAAGTCTCCCACTCCCACTGCACAGTGTCAAAAGCACACGCGTATTCCCCAGTCGAAACACGCAACCTTGAACCAATCACTACATATGAAAAGAAGCCCCTAAACATAGTGGAGTAACTACCTTTTTTGAGAAAAGGAGGAATCGGCAGATCAGCCCACCTATCCTCTGAAGGATAATAAACCTCAAAGCCAATGTCAATTATATCAGGAGATCCATAGCTGGGCAGGGGCCCAGATAGAACATGGATGCGACCATCAATTTCCTCTATAAGGGGGAAATACTTTGCCCCATGCATTGGGCACTTAATCTCTGTTTGAGAGTTTTCTAGAGGAGTTGAGAGAGAGATGCAACTGAACTCTGGGGACAACCTGCCTGGCTCATACAAGTGCCTCTCTTCCTCATCGGCCTTCACACCACCAACAGCATAGACCAAACCTCCAGTATGAATCAAACTCATAGCAAAGTATTGTGGGGTGCATGCATCAGATGCATCCTTTATCTCACGCCAGACAAACTCCTCTTTCGGTTTAAGCCTGCTTGAAGAATGGTGAATCAATTTCCGAATTGGAAAAGACTTGAAAGAATAAACCATTGGATCCGCATAACCATCCACTTGCGTGAAGCACACCACGAGGTTTCCTGTTGTTTTTCTTCATGCTTTCCAAAAATACAGCTGAAGGAAAGTCTCCCAATTCTCCCTTTCTCTGTTGTTCGCAACATGCTTAATCTCTAGCAAAAGCGCTCGAGTAAGAACAGAAGAAAAAAGGGCGACGGCTAGATGTGAAAATATCTCTTGCAAAGCCTTTGCTGGAGTTGGACAGCAGAAGAGGGAGACGATTGCTTATTCTAAGATTTGATGACGCCCTAATTTTGCGCTGGCCGAGAGCCTTCTTTTGTTTTAATCATTTAATCCACCGCCACCGTCACCGCCACCTCTAGGCCTCGGATCCAGATTGGAATTAATAAATTCAGATTCGGAGCTGTTATACTATACCCGCTCCCAATAATTCAGTCATATCAAAATATTAGTTAAATACCAGAACGTATTGGAGCAAAACCTATTTTTGGTTAGGTAAAGTGATTGTGTAAACGATTTCAAAGATCCCTCAATTTTTGCTCGAGATTTTATTTGGTCCCTCAACTTTTGAAAGTGTTTATTACGTTCCTCAACTTACAAATTGGTTTCCAATGGTCCTTCCAAGCCAAATCTGAGTATGTTAATTTTCAGTTTGTCCCCTTAGGTTCGGTTTCCTTGTCTATTTTCCTCCTCAAATTTATAATTAAGGCATGTTAGCCCCTTTTATTTGTTTCGATTAATTTGTTATATGGTTAACTAATCTGATTAACAAAAACGAAATGCCTTCTTTTTTTCTTTTTTTTTTTTTAAATTGTCTGTCCTGGGGATGATTGGAAGGCAAAGCTACACTTAAATGCATCTCACCAAGCTAAGTTGGGATAAGACTAACTTTGGCTATGGTATTTTAGAAGGCATATGCTTCAATTGCAAATATTTCTTTCACTATATTCCTTATTCTACTATAACAAATTCAGCATAGATGGAACTAGAAAAATTACTTTGAGGGGGAAATTTTTAGTTTTATAACAAAAAATTTGTTCATGTTTTTGCAAGGTCAAAAATTTAAATCTACAAAATATTTTTCAGAAAATTTTCAATTTCAAGGAAGAAACACCTAAATTTTTAGAACTTGGTTCAGTGTCACCTCAGCGACCCTTCGTTGTTCCACCCATGAAATTCAGTCACGAAGGACCAGATGAGATGGATACATACCTTCACCATGTGGTATCTTTTCTTTTTAGACAGCTGCAAAAGATTTTAATTCTAATTCTCCACTTGTGGATTCGTATAGTGGTCTCAATCTTCTATTGCTTGGTTCCTTTTCATTTGTTGGTTTCTAGGAAAAGGGCAGGTTACTAATTATGTGAGAAAAGATCAGAGGACTGGGGAATATCTTTCATGAATTTGTTCGGGTTCAATTAAAAGAATCTACCTCCCCCACACCGACCCCCCCCCCCCCAAAAAAAAAAAAAAACCCATGAAGAAAAGGAAAAAAGATGTTGAAAGAATCCAATATCCAAACTTATTTGTGATGATGGATATTTAACTTGCATGGATTTTCGTTCAAATGAGTTATTTATCTGGATAGTTAGCTCTTGGCTCTAAATTCCTATGAAGAGATAATAGTGATTGGAACATAAAGGAATTCTCTGATGACAACAAAGCTTCAAAATGAATATTTCAGCCAGCACCTTCAACTATATATATATATATATATATATATATATATATATATATATATATATATATATATATATATAGAACCGTGAAATTCCTATTCTTCCATCGTCACTGCATTAAGGCATATTTAATCTTCTAGTTAACTTAATTAGTAAGCAGTAATGGCAGCTTCTTCCATCAAGATTTTTGATACTTCGGAGTCTGTTGATCCCACTGTAGGCTTCATCTCACTTCCTCTAAAGAAATCAAATTTCCAAATCCAAAGGCCTTATGACATACCAGAAGATCAACGTTATTCCTTCATTGATGGAGTGCATAAATTGTGGGTTTTCAAGACTGATAAACCTCATTCTCCTGAAAGTCACACTAAACCTCGTACAGAAATCCGTATACTTGTAAGTATATATTCTGCAGTATATACAAATTTATTTATGTGTATATACAAATTACATCATATGTATATATATACCCTTGACAAGATATGAAACAGAATCAGAATTTTTCATCACAATTCTTCTGTTTTTTGTCTTTTTTTTTTGGGTTGTATAGAGTATAGTGATGTATTTAGAGTCTTTCTATTCCTTGTACGTTTTTTTTTTTGATGAATAAAAGAGAAAAGTCTGCTTTTGAAAAAAGAAGATATAAAACAGAAGGATTGTGATGAAATTGATAATTATTTCTGCCAATAATGGTCCCTTTTTTCTTTAATATTTTTTCTCGTACGTTCAAATTTTTTTATATGGGCAATAATGTTTAGAAATTTACTGATATAAGTGACAAAGTGAGATATATATGAAATTAGAGGTTACTTTTTTTGTCCATTAATAATTAAGGGCATCATATATATCATATAATTGAGAATTTAGTTCAATTTAGCACATATATGGAACATTTAACTTTACCCTTATTTTTTCTAAAAAAAGAAAAAACCACATTGATGTGTTGAGGGATTAGACATAGACTCTGACCTGTTTATTAAGACATTTTTATAGAGTACATCATAAAGATGAATACACCTCTTAGTTTTGACTAATTGAAAATCTGATAAACTTTAAATAGTCTCAACATGTTCCACAGTTACAGAAATTTTAACTTTACACCTTCTTTTATTGTTACAGAACACATTTAAGCTAGAAATTTTGGCTAATTTACATGTCAGGGTTATGATTACTCTTCTGGAATTTGGCAATTCGAAGGATACGGATTTGTTCCAAATGGAACTTCTGGTGTGTGCATAATGCAAGTGTTTGGAGCAAGCCCACCTCATGCCTCAACTTTAATGCTTAGGGTCTACAATGGATCCCTCTCATATTATAGAGCTCCTCTCCCAGCTGTTCCCAACATCTGTGATAGGTGGTTTCGTCTCAATGTAATTCATGATGTTCATGCTGGGAATCTAACGGTTTTCATTGATGGGATTCTGTTGTTTTGTCAGAGCCGCAAGCTTTGACTTGTGGCATAATTTTTCATTTCCTTCTCATCCCACATCGGAGCCTGCTGAAGAGAAGCCGGCTACTCGAGGCCTATAAATAGAAGGGTCCATTGAAGGATTTAACTCGCACCACTCAAGAGAGTTATATGGGCTATTAGCTTCTTGAGTCATCTAGCCCATTCAGTCAAATATTTTAGGCTCTCTTGATTTGAGTTTAGGAATATTTTCTAAACTCTTTTGTAAGTGCCTATTGGCCTAGGAACCACTTTCCTACGGCTTTTGTATTTCTTCTTCATAGTAGAAATATTGCTCCTCCCTCGCCCGTGGACGTAGGTTAATTTGACCGAACCACGTAAATCTTCTGTGTCTTTTATTTGCTTTGTTATCCGTCTTTATATGGTCGGTTTTACCGCCTAATTATTATATGGCTGGTATCTACCGCCTATCTATTATATGGTCGGTTATACCGCCTACTTTGTGCTAACTTGAGTTTGTCTATTCCTGGCCCGGTCCTAACAAACTGGTATCAGAGCTGGTTGTTATATTTTGCAAGACAGGTTCATCTGGTGGGGTCCGTCCATCCTGTGGGGCCCACTCATCCTGTGGGGTCCGTTTATCTGTGGGGCCCACTCATCCTTGTGGGGTCCTTTCATCCCGTGGGGCCCGCCTATCTCGTGGGGCCCGCTCACCCTGTGGGGCCCGCTCACGAGACTTGCATATTTGTTTGGCCAGTTTTTGAGACAAACTTCAAGTTACAGAATTTGTGGCAACAATGACGATAACAAAGACGGTTGTCGAGAAATTCGACAGGAATGTCAACTTCGGAATGTGGCAGCTCAAGATGGAGGCCATTCTTGTTCAAGACGGAGTTGATCTAGCGATTCACGGAATCGAGAACAAACCAGAAGATGTCAAGGATGCGGATTTCGCCGATATGGATAAGAAGGCCAGATCCAGCATAATCTTAAACCTCTCCGATGAGGTATTGCGTGAGGTAGCAACGGAGACTTCGGCCAAGGCTATGTGGGATAAATTGAAAGCCTTGTATATGAAGAAAACAGTCGAAAATCGGCTATATTTGAAGCAGAGTTTGTACATGCTTCGGATGTCTGAAGGTACATCTATACTCTCCCATCTTGATAAATTTGATTCCATTATTATGGATTTGGGGAATATAGATTCGAAAATTGATGATGAAGATCAAGCCCTATTGCTTTTGTGTTCCCTTCCCCAATCTTTTAAGCATTTCCGCGATACTATGATTTATGGAAAGGAAACAATTTCGTATCGGGAAATTAAATCTGCATTAAAATCTAAAGAGCAGATAGATAGGGACATTACTGGGGAAACTAGTGGGAGTCAAGCCGATGGTTTGTTTGTTCGGGGTAGATCTGAAAAGAAAAACACAGAAAATAGAAGTAGATCCAAATCCAGACATAAAAATGTGGTGTGCAATTATTGTAAAAAGAAGGGCCATGTTATCTCTGATTGCTTTAAATTGAAAAATAAAGAAAAGCAAAAGGGAAAATTTGTTGAGAAAAATACTGAATCCGCTGAAGCTAGTATAGCAGCTGATCAGAATGATGGAACCATTTTCTGTGCAACGGAAAATAATTTTAGGTCTAACAATGAGTGGATTTTAGATTCGGGTTGTTCGTATCATATGTGTCCCAACAGGGACTGGTTTTCAACATATGAATCAGCTGAAGGTGGAGTTGTCTTAATGGGCAACAACGCTGTTTGTAAAGTTGTTGGCAAAGGCACAATCCGGATTAAAATGTACGATGGTATTGTGAGGACGCTCACAGATGTTAGACATGTTCCAGATTTGAAGAAAAATCTCATCTCTTTAGGCACTCTTGAGTCTATTGGGTGCAGGTATTCAGGTGGAGATGGAGTTCTCAAAATCAGTCGATGAGCCCTTGTTGTTATGAAGGCACACAGATCTGGTACTTTATATATTTTGCAGGGATCTACTGTTACAGGTGCTGCTGCTGTTTCTACATCAACTTTGTCTGATTCTGATTTTACCAAATTATGGCACATGAGATTGGGGCACATGAGCGAGAAGGGCTTATCTATTTTATGCAAACGAGGTCTTCTTGGTAGTCAAAGTATTGGAAAGATGGGACTCTGTGAACATTGCATTTTTGGAAAGCAGAAGAGAGTTAGCTTCCAGTTGCCGGCAGTTCACAGGACAAAAGGAACTTTGGACTACATTCATTCAGACCTCTGGGGGCCTTCTTGTGCTCCTTCTAAAGGTGGTGCCAGGTACATGTTGACTTTCATTGATAATTATTCAAGGAAAGTTTGGGTATATTTTCTTAAGCATAAAAATGATGTTTTCCTAACTTTCAAGCAATGGAAAGTTTTGATTGAGAAACAAACAGGAAAGCATATTAAGCGGTTGAGAACAGATAATGGCATGGAATTTTGTGGAGGTGAATTTAATGAATTCTGCAAGAATGAAGGAATTGTTCGGCATCACACCGTCAGGATGACGCCTCAACAAAATGGTGTGGCTGAACGTATGAACAGAACGCTTTTGGAGAGAGCAAGATGTATGATCTCCAATGCAGGGTTGACAAACGACTTTTGGGCAGAGGCGATCAATATGGCCTGTTATATTGTCAACCGTTCTCCTTCTGCATCTCTTGATTTCAAAACTCCTGAGGAAGTTTGGTCAGGTACTCCTGCTGATTACTCCAATTTAAAAGTTTTTGGGTGTCCAGCATACATGCACGTGAATGATGGAAAATTGGAGCCTAGGGCTAAAAAGTGCATTTTTCTTGGGTATGCTTCTGGGGTGAAAGGATACAGATTATGGTGTCCTGATCCCAAATCTCCAAAATTTGTGATCAGTAGAGATGTTACTTTTGATGAATTGTCTATGTTATCTTCCAAGAAGGAGTCTTCCAGTCCTTGTACTACTGATAGTACACAGAAGCAGGTGGAGCTTGATATTGGCAGTTCTGGTCCTTCTCAGACCAAATCTTCTATTCAAATGCCAGTAGATACACCTGAATCTACTGTTGAAGATAGTTCTGAAGAAGAAGAGTATTCCATAGCCAGAGATAGAGCAAGGAGAGACATTCGACCACCACAAAGATATGCAAATTTAGTTGCATATGCTTTGTCTATTGCAGAAGAAACTGATGCAGTTGGTGAGCCTTCCACCTATTCAGAAGCAGTTTCTTGTGATGATTCTGCAAAGTGGTTGATTGCGATGAATGAAGAAATTGAATCTCTTCATCGTAATGAAACTTGGGTTCTTGTAAAGCCGCCGTCAGCTAAGAAAATTGTTGGATGCAAATGGGTCTTCAAGAAGAAGGAAGGTATTCCAGGGGTTGAAGATGCAAGATATAAAGCACGATTGGTTGCAAAGGGCTATAGTCAGGTACAAGGTGTTGATTTTAATGATATATTCTCACCTGTTGTTAAACATAGCTCTATTCGTGTTTTGCTTGCTTTAGTAGCCATGTATAATTTGGAGTTAGAGCAGCTTGATGTTAAGACAGCTTTCTTACATGGCGAACTTGAAGAACAAATTTATATGAAACAACCCCAGGGTTTTGAGATTGAAGGTAAGGAAGACCATGTTTGCTTATTGAAGAAATCCTTATATGGATTGAAGCAGTCTCCAAGACAATGGTATAAAAGGTTTGATTCCTTTATGTTGGGTCATGGTTATTTGAGGAGCATGTATGATAGTTGTGTTTACTTCCGGAAGTTAAATGATGGTTCTTTCATTTATTTGCTGCTTTATGTTGATGACATGCTCATTGCTGCCAAGAATTTGTCAGAAATTCACACTTTGAAACTGCAGTTAAATAGTGAATTTGAAATGAAAGATTTGGGAGCAGCTAAGAAAATTCTTGGCATGGATATCAAGAGAGATCGAGGAGTAGGGAAGTTATTCTTGACCCAGAAAAATTACCTTGAGAAAGTTTTGGAGCGTTTTGGCATGAAAGATGCTAAACCAGTATCTACTCCTCTTGCTAGCCATTTTCGGCTATCTGCTGCTCAATCACCAAAATCAGATGAAGAGGAAGATTATATGGCACGGGTTCCTTATTCCAGTGCAGTCGGCAGTATTATGTATGCAATGGTTTGTACTCGTCCAGATATTGCACAAGCAGTCAGTGTTGTTAGCAGATATATGTCTTGCCCTGGTAAAGCACATTGGCAAGCTGTGAAGTGGATTCTCAGATACTTGCGAGGTACTTCAAATGCATGTTTGGAGTTTGGAAGAAATAATAACACTTTGGTTGGTTTTGTAGACTCAGACTACGCTGGAGATCTTGACAGGAGAAGATCACTTTCAGGCTATGTATTTTGCATTGGCGGTTGTGCTGTTAGTTGGAAAGCTACTCTACAACCTGTCGTAGCTTTGTCTACTACTGAAGCAGAATATATGGCTGTGACCGAGGCAATCAAAGAAGCCTTGTGGTTGAAGAGTTTATTTAGCGAGCTAAGTCTATATCAAGGTGTTATTGATATTCACTGTGATAGTCAAAGTGCCATACACTTGACTAAAGATCAGATGTATCATGAGAGGACGAAACACATTGATGTGAAGTATCACTTCATTCGGGATATCATTGCTGAGGGAAAAGTCCTTATTCAGAAAATCAATACCAAGGACAATCTAGCCGATATGTTTACGAAGCCTCTTCCAGTTTACAAATTCAAGCAGTGCTTGGATTTGATTAGTGTTCATTGTTGGTGATTTACGCCCATTAGGGGCTTATGTGGAGAAGGTGGAGTAATTTTACTATTGTCGATGGTGGAACCAAAATTATGCCAAGGTGGAGATTTGTTGTTTTGTCAGAGCCGCAAGCTTTGACTTGTGGCATAATTTTTCATTTCCTTCTCATCCCACATCGGAGCCTGCTGAAGAGAAGCCGGCTACTCGAGGCCTATAAATAGAAGGGTCCATTGAAGGATTTAACTCGCACCACTCAAGAGAGTTATATGGGCTATTAGCTTCTTGAGTCATCTAGCCCATTCAGTCAAAT